CAACATTGATGATAATCAGAAATGTTTCTTGAGCGGCAAATCAGCATATTAGAATGATTTCTGAAGATCATGTGACACTGAAGACTGGAGTAATGATGCTGAAAATCCAGCTTTAATCACAGGAATAAATTACATTTTAACATCTATTCACATAGAAAACAGCTATTTTAAATGGTAATAATATTTCACAATTTTACTGTATTTTTGATAAAATAAATGCAGCCTTGGTGAGCAGAAGAGACCTCTTCGCTACAGTTTCTTGCTGGCAGAAGATACGAGCGATTTGTGAGACATCCTTTAAAACAGGAGCGCTGCTATTTCTGTCACTTTAAAGTTGGTTAGAAGATTTAGCGCTAAATTTGAGCGCTGAATAAAAGAAGAGCTGACATGGCAAATTAATGATCTATTAACCTCAAACAAAGGTAGACACCTAGACTATAATTAGGACTGTCTCGTGAGTTTGGTTTGGAGATGAATTTTACAAATCCATTTGCGTTCTCCTCGACCTCCTGCAGCTAGTAATTAACATGTCAGTCTGTCGTCGGAGCGCCGCACTTTAACATCGGCTTTATTAATATAACAGCCACAGCTGAGCATTCATTTACTAGAGATAATGTGAGGAAGACCCGTGAAATACACCACAGATCCTCAACCGCGCACTGATTCATCACATATACTGCAGAAATCTATCTATCTATCTATCTATCTATCTATCTATCTATCTATCTATCTGTCTGTCTATCGACATTAAATGTTGAAATACACATGCACCTCCACGGCCTCCCAGCCCCACTCCCTGTATTTGGGGTCGTGGGTCAAACGCCACATGTACATGTAGCTCTCGATGACCTCTGGCCTCAGGATGTAATAGCGGTCACTCAGTCGGGTGGCTGTGGCCTCGGCTCCTGCATCGAAGCGGAACGCCTCCGGACCAAGTTTGGTGGCTGTAGACAGAAAAAAAACATTACAAGTTGATATACTTCTCCTGGTCTTGTTGTGAAAGAAAAATGTAAACCACATGACTTATTCTGACATGCACTGCCCGCTTTTCACAATCTAATCCATTTCCAAGGATTAAGTCAAGTCCTGTCCTACAATTTGTAGACATTGTAACATTGTCATTGACATTGTTGTAACATTACAAATTCAGTCACATCTGCTCTGGTTTAATTGCCTTCAAATGGCTTCAATGTTCTTTAGAGCTTTCTGTCCAAAAGTGCACTCATTTGGAGAAATATTGCTATATTTACACGTTTACTTATTTCGTCAGCCGAATGATCACAATGAAACTACTTTTCTAGCTTATTAATTTACTTTTCATGTTTGCATCACAGATTTCTAATTAAGTTGTAGAGCTGCACAATAATGCTTAAACGGTTAATCAAGATTATTTTGCTCCAAAAAAAAGAATCATGATTATAGTTTTTTTTTTGCATTTCATCAGAATTATTGCACTTCTTCCATAAGCATAAATCAAGAACTTCTATGTCAAATCAAGAATTTATGTGTTTGCCTGTGTTTTCATCTCAGCGCATTTTCCACAATGTAGAGAGAGCATTTGCACATGGTTGCCAGGTTGGGAAGCTTAAGTAAACCACTGGGCAGAAAATGTATCTATGAAAGCCCATTTCCACCAAGTAAGGAAAAAAAATCATGCTTTGGTAAGCCATAATTATAAATGTAAAAATCATTACAATGAGATGAAATATTTAAATTATGACATAAAAAGTTGTAATGACTTTTAAAGTCAAAATGATGACATACTAAGTCATAATTAGGGATAGAAAGTCAAAATTTACATACTAAGTTGAAATTACATTTACATTTAGTCATTTAGCAGACGCTTTTATCCAAAGCGACTTACAAATGAGGACAATAAAAGCAGTCAAAACTAACAAAAGAGCAATGATATACAAGTGCAATAACAAGTCTCAGTTAGCTTAACGCAGTACACGTAGCAAGGTTTTTTTTTTATTATTATATAATAAATAAAAAGAAAACAGATAGAATAGAAAAAGAAAAGAGCAAGCTAGTGATAGAGGCCTTTTTTGCTTTTGTTAATTCTATAATAAATAAAAATAAAACAAATAAATGGAATACAAAAAGATTAGAGCAGCTACTGGTAGCCAGTGCAGATTGATGAACAGAGGTGTGACGTGCATTATTTTTAGCTCATTAAAAATTAATCGTGTTGCCGCGTTCTGGATTAATTGTAAAGACCTGCCAAGAGAACATTGCAATAGTCCAGCCTGGACAGAACAAGAGCTTGAACAAGGAGTTGTGAAGCATGTTCCGAAAGAAATTGCCTGATCTGCTTGATGTTGAATAAAGCAAATCTGCAGGACCGGGCAGTTTTAGCAATGTGGTCTGAGAAAGTCAGCTGATCATTATTCATAACTCCAAGGTTTCTGGTTGTTTTTGAAGGAGTTAAGGTTGATGTGCCTAACTGGATGGTGAAATTGTGATGAAACGATGGGTTTGATGGAACCACAAGCAGTTCTGTCTTGGCAAGGTTGAGATGAAGGTGATGGTCCTTCATCCAGCAAGAAATGTCTGTTAGACAAGTTGAGATGCGAGCAGCTATTGTGGGATCATCAGGATGGAATGAGAGGTAGAGTTGAGTATTATCAGCATAGCAGTGATATGAAAAACCATGTTTCTGAATGACAGAACCTAGTGATGCCATGTAGACAGAGAAGAGAAGTGGTCCAAGAACTGAGCCCTGAGGCACCCCAGTAGTTAGATTAAATTATGAGATAAAAAGGCAAAAATGACTATTTACCTCATATTTCTGAGTTTTTATCTCATAATTAAGACATAGTATGTCATAATTTAAACTTGTAAAGTCTGAATTTTGACTCAATTATGAGATAGTATGAATGTAAAAGTTGAAATTTACATACTAAGTCATTATGAGATGAAAAAAATGAATTTTCATAATTTCACAGTGTCGTAATGTCATCTTTTTCCTCCTAATTATGAGTTTTATGTCCTAATTTCGACTTATAAAGTCATAATTGTCACTTTTCATCATTAATTATGACGTACCAAAGCATGATTTTTTTATCTTATATGGAGGAAATGGGCTTCCATATGCATCGATTTAAGAGAAAAGCTCTGATTGGGGGATTTAAGCTCTTGAAATCTGGCAACCACAGCCATGAAAGCTTGTGGAGGATTGATACCAATGCAAATGCCAAATTAAAATGAAACATTTTCAGTAGGCTATAAATAATCATCAGCCAAATATCACAGTCGATTTTGCTTAATAAATTGAGAGAAGCAGAAATCATGATCATGATTAAATGAATTCACCAGGTTTTATTAAGTTGGTTTTCATTTTTTGTGACTCTGCAATTCACATTGTCAATGTTTTAATCGCTGGATGTTGTCAAATCATTGTATTTCTGGTTGCCTTTAACATCATACATCTGCAAATCTTTGAAAAGCACATTCATAGTACGAACTTATGAAACCAAGCAAGAAGAAAACCATTATTTTCCATATTGGTTATTCCATATTCCATATTCCATAAAACCATATTATTCCATACAAGATGCACAGAGTAGAGCTGAACTGAACTGCAACAGCCTAATCATCATAAAGAGAAAACATGCATGTTTTTTATATGCACTAAAAAAAGCGCTAGTTAGTCTTCTATCTCCCTCCTGCTGATTGCTCAGCTGGTGTAAATACTGAGCTTTGTGTTTTTACAGCGTGGAGAAACCTGAGCTAGTAAACACAGCGTGTGTGTAGTTTGTGTGCACTACGATCACCAGCCGTCTTTATGAAAACACAAAGCTTTCAAAGCAGAACATACCATAACAAACCCAAATGTCTCCCATTATGCCCCTAAAATCTAAAATTACAAGTAGCCCAAGTCCGGGAGAAGCACTCTCGTCTGAATAAACATTTTCATTTGCATACTGATTTTGGTTTGTTTTGTCTCAATCCCTCGCCTCTTTAGCAATATTACAACACTTCAGCCTGGAACAGTGTTTTCTGCGGCGCGGCTGTGTGTTTTAGTGGAATACGGTGTTTTTTTGGTGATTATCGGTGTGTTACAGTGAGAGAAACTCTCCCACGGGGAAGCTTTAATATGACACTGTCAACTTTAATATGACACTTGTCAATATATGGAATGATGCTTCTCCAAATGTGTTTAATATATAAGTTTTTTTTCCTTCATGGCGCAGTGGGGCATATTATAATGAAGAGAATATGTTAATAAAAGAAAAACACAAGACAGCTTTGAGACACATAAACATGAATTTAAAAAATAAACAAGATTTATATTTTATATATATTATATATATATCATATTTAACTCCAAAATTAGTAAATAAATTAAATAAATTAAGAAATGATATTTTGCACCACTATTTCATAGTTTAACTTAATTTTATTATTTAGATTTCATATCTCATTATTTAGATTAAAATAATTTTGATTCAGTAATATTTTTACTGCAGTACAGAAACCAAATACTGTAACATTATTTTAGCATTGAAATATTATTATAATTTTTTATAATTTTTAGATTTCCAGTTATATCTATTTAGCTGATTTTAAGTTTGCTGTCATTTTTACAATTATTTTTATTATTATGATTATGTTTATATTAATTATTATTTTCTTAGTATTTGTACTAGTTTTAGTAATTTTAATACACTTTACTAATTTTACTATGTGTGTGTGTGTATCTATAAAGTTATATTTCTTTGTTTTTATTTTAGTACATCAAGTTAACTTGAAAAAAAAAATTAAAATGAAATTAAAATGAGAAACGTCACCTTGCTGAAATATAATAATTATATTTTATAATTCAGTTTATTTAATTTCAAGTAATGAAAATGTTTTTAATAGTTAGTTCAAATAGCTTCACTTTTAATTTGAGTTAACTATAGTGACCTTAGTACAATACGTAATAGACTATGCATGCATATAAATACTTCAATTAAAAAATATATAAAAAAATTTTTTTTTCACTTTAATAATTTTTTGCATTTTGGAAATGAGAATTTGGGGGGTGAAAATATCTTTGCTTCATTTTCTTGCTGTATATAATGCTAATTTGTCATTTGACTCTTTTGATTTTGGTGTAAAATCTGACCCGGGCATGTTCTCAGCAGGATTCATTCATATCCTGCTCATGCCCTGCGGCTCTGAGGATCTTATTTTACGAGAGACATGAGGTTAGAAATAGTGTGTTGAGACGAGATCAAACGTGGTATTTATCGCTCGTCCTCTGCTCCTGCTAAATCTGCAGCGTCTGGATCCTCCTGACGAGAGCGCTGTGAAGAGCTATTTCTGATCTGACGCAGGTTAGGCTTCATCTCATCTGTTTGCTTCTGATGTCTGAGAAAGCAACAGTTTGAGTCTGTGATTATCCAGCAGAGTAATGGCCTTCCTCTATCTGAGTGCCAGCAGATTGGATTTTCAGAAACACAGGCGCGCTGGAAGCATGAGCAGAAAGATAAGACAAAGGATATTTCTGAAGCTGCCTTCCTCTCAAGATCACAGGAGCTGTTTTCTGAGTCACCGTCCGTCTGACTTCACACCACTGTTATTTTAACATAATTTATATACTGTTATATGATTTATTAATATAGTAACACTTTATTTTAAGGACCAATTCTCACTATTAACTTGTTGTTAATAAAAGCACATATTAATGCTTTATTCTGCATGACCATATTTTAGATCCCTTAATACCTAAAATTATCAACGAACTTACTAACTATTAATAAGCAGCAAATTAGGAGTTTGAGGCAAAATTTGTAGTTAATATAGTGAGAATATGTAATATTTATATTAGCTTTTATTTTTATATTTGATTATATTTTCAGTTTAGTTTTAGTAAATTTATATGCTTTTGCAATTAAAATTTTTAATATATATTTATATATAGCTTGAATTTATTTTTATGTTTTAGTAATTTTACTACTTCATCTTAAACTTATTTCCGTTAGTCAGCAATGAAACATTTCTAATTTTCATTTAAAATTTACAATTAAATTTTGTCTTTCATCTAACATAAATTCATATTATTATCATTATTATTACTATTATTATTATTATATTTTATATTTATAATTGTAATAGTTTTAGTTGACAATAACAACACTGTGACATGAATTTAAAATAAATAAAATCATTCATTTATTTATTTCACATAGCTTCCAAACAAATATTTCTAATTTTTATTTAGTTTAAATACTAAAATTATTACCACAGAAATAAAAAGTTAATATAAATATTTAATAAAAAAATAAACATTAACGGAAATGAAACAAAAATCGTATTTATTTCAGTTAGTTGTAGGGCTGCCCCCTAATAGTCGACTAATCGTTAGTCGACAAGAAGAGGCTTGGTTGACCAAAATGTTATTAGTCGCAGAAAAAAAATGAAATAAATGCACAGGCGAAGTCACGCACATCCGTGACTAACAGATTGTTAACAGCTAGTCTATAGTAATACAGTACATCTGGGAGGACATCCAAACGCTCGCCTATCATTCATCGACCTCAGTATGGCTTATCATCTGAAATATGTAAGTATTAGCAACTTTACATGGCCACTCAATCTAATGTTATCCTAAAGAAATGTCCGCTATTGAAGTGTCTGTACTACATACTGTATTAAAATATTCCTTCATTTTTGGTCATACAGATACGAGTAATACATCTTTCAAATCTGTAAAGACTCTACGTTTATTTGTGTGCACTCACAATACCGCGCTTTTGTAAAATAATGAAAGCAAACATGATGCGCTTTCTGCCGTCTTTGTGAACTAGAGCGCGAAACTCTGTGTATATCTTTGCCTTACAGACATAAAAAATATATCTATAGAGAGTGAAATGTCTACTTTCAAAAGAACCTATTCAAATGGAAAACAAATTCTCAGATTATGTAATCCGTATGAAACATGCATACAGGCGCAAGCTTTATGTGTGTACTTGAGCGCATATTAGGCTATGTAGGCAATTAAAGGCTCATTATAATGATTTAAATGGTTTATTAATAAA